GTCTACCTATATAGTTTCTTAGGTGAAATAGAATTCCATTACAGTTATATATCCTGATTTGTTTGGCTATTCTTCATTGTAGTGTTCCAACCAAAATTCTAATGGACTTTAAGATATATTGGAATTTTTCTAAGCAGTCTGTAGGATAATTGTGTGTCAGTATATTAAAAATAAACTTAATTTTATTATTATTTAATAAACCATAAATTTCTGGGATTATTGAGGAAAATATTTTTTTCAAATTAGAAGGTAGAGGGTTTAAAAAAATTTTATGTCACCTATATTTCCTGAAATATCTCTACTTCCTCACCCTCCCAAGGAGCCATCTCTGATAACAGTTAACAAAAAAAAAAAAGATGAAAAAAATCCCAATTCAATAAAATTAACCCACACATTGAAAAAAAGCCAATGTTCTATGTCCATAGTCCCCAACCTCTGCAAAAAAGCAGGGAGTGATGCCTTCTCATGCCTCTACTCTGGGGCCATACTTGGTCATCATAATCATGTAGGATCTAGTTTTGATTTTTTTGTTCTTGCCATTTACATTGTTGTAGTCAGGTATATTTTTCCTGGTTTCCTGGTTTGACTTTGCAGTTGTTCATGTGAGTCTTCCCAAACTTATGTGTATTTATTGTATTTGTCATTTTTTATAGTGCATTAATATTCTATTATGTTCATATACCATAACATTTAGTCATTTCCAATAAATAGGCTTCTCCCCCCTGCCCTTGCTACTTCAAAGGAATGTAAATATTTTCTTATATGTGGTACCTTTCTTTTTATCATTGACCACTTTGGGGTATATGCTTCATGGTGAGATCTTCTATGGGTTTAAGGATTAACTACTAGGCAAAAGATTTTATTATACGTTGTCCTAAAATAAATGTTTTGTGTTAAAATATCATGACCCTTATTTAAATATTCAGACAGTCTTGGGTAAAACTTTGGGTAGCTTAAGAGGGTAACAACTTAATGAATATTTATAGTTGAATAACAGATAAATCATACTCTGAGTAAACTCTTTAACTGATAAGATCATAATAATTCATAATTAACTTTAGTAGCCTAGGTTTGAGAATGAAAGGAAATTAAATAACTTTATTGAGATCATTTTGAAAACTCCAGTGGGAAGCAGCAGTAAACACTTTAAAAGCAAATTACTTTTTTTTTTAAGTGAGGCAGTTGGGGTTAAGTGACTTGCCCAAGGTCACACAGCTAGTAGTATCAAGTGTCTGAGGTCACATTTGAACTCAGGTCCTCCTGACTGCAAGGCTGGAGCTCTATCCACTGTGCCACCTAGCAAATTACTTTTGAAAATTCTCAGTTGTGAAACATAATTTACTTTTTTGCTTGATTAAGTTTCCTTTTGGGTCACAAACACCACAAAGCACCTTCAGATACCTGTGGTTAGGTTCCACCATAGGCAAGTCTTAAACACTTATACTCATGCCACAGGCATAATTTTAATTGGCCTTTGCATTATATGACTTTTCGGGAAGGATTTTCTTTTGTATTGCTTATTAAAATTTGTATTCCTTGAGCTCACCCAAATTAATAGTTAAGTTAATGGTCAGGATTGTGCTGAATAGTACCTGGGGGAAGCCAGAAACTTAAATGCTTTTTATTTTAATTGGTGTGGGTGTTCTTACTTGTAGAAACTGCAAACTTTGTGGATGTCTCTTTATCTTTGAGAGTTGCTGTGGCCTAATTGTTCGTCATTGTGACCATTTTGGGGAATGAGTCTTTCTGAATTAAGCTAGTCATGGTCCTGAAGGACTGCCCATCTGTCACCCAGCCCTCACTGGAAGTCTTTAATAGGTACAATTTATATAGCACGTATTATGTATTCACCGTGCTAAGCACTTTACAAATAGTATCTCATTTGAGCCTTATAACAACTCTGAGAGATAGGTACTGGCCTTATACCCATTTTATAGTTGAGGAAACTGAGGCAAAGAGAGCTTAAATCACTTGCCCGAGATCACAGAGCTAGTAGTGTTTGAGGCTGTATTTGAATTCAGATTTTCCTGACTCCAGGTCCAGTGCTTTACTGAGCTACCTAGCTGCTCCAAGTTGTGCTTACTGGCATATTCTTTGAGAATTTAAGGTTGCTTTCATGTCACATTGAGATATGGGAATAGGACTTTAGAGAAGCCATGTAATATTTTAAAAAATAGATTGTTATTGATATCTTTTGGTTTTATACTGTCTAAATTTCCTTCTGTATCCCTTTCTCTTCCTTTCCCAGAGAACTATCCCATATAATAATTTTTTTGAAGAAAAATTGAAAGTGAGAAAACAGTAAGACAAATAATAACAACCAAAAAAATCTGAAAATATATGAAACATTCCATACCTTTGGAACACCTCTTATATCTGCAAAGTAGTAGGGATGGGGAAGGTGTCTTTCTGGATCTCTTCTTTGGGGCCATTCTTGTTTTTTGTAATTTTGCAACATTTACTTTTCTTTTTTTACATTTTTATTTTTAAAAATTACTTACTTTTTTATTTAACAAAGATCTGTTTTCTTTCCCTTCTACCTCTTTCCCCCTGTTGGAGAAATAGAAAAAACAACTGTAACAAATAAGCAGTTAAGCAAAATAAATTCCTGCATTGATTTTTAGAAGTATCAATCTGTACTCTGAGTCTGTTACCTCTCAGTCAGGAGGAAGAAAGAAAGGAGACAAACATGTATTAAGTGCTTCCTATGGTGTAGTAGGCACTTTGCTAAGTGCTTTACAAATATTATCTCATGTTATCTCATCTTACAACAACCCTGAGAGATAGGTGCTATTAATATCTCCTTTTTATGGTTGAGGAAATTTAAAGTAGGCAAAAATCAAGCGACTTTGCCTAGGGTTTCATGGTTAGGGAGTGTCTGAGGCCAAATTTGAAGTCAAGTCTTCCTAACACCAATCAATCAATCAGTCAATCAGTCAACATTTATTAAGTGCCTGGCGTTCTATCCACTGTGCCACCTAGAGGCTTCTCTTGGGGGTAGGTAGCATGTTTCATCATTGCTGTTCTTGAAATTGTGGTTGACTTTTGCAATGATCAGAATTCTTAAGGTTTTCAAAGTTGTTTTTGTATGTTAACTTTGTAAAAGTTGTTCATTTGAATCTGCCATTAGTATAGTGTCTGGCACATATTAAATGCTTAAAAATGCTTCTTTACTGCTCACTTCTCTTTGCATCATTTCATTTAAGTCTTCCTAGTTTTTTTCTGAAATTGTTGCCTTTGTCACTTCTAACAGCACAATAGTGTTACATTCATAAATTTGTTCAATAATTCCCCAATCAATGGGCATCTATGTTGTTTCTAGTTCTTTGCTACCATAAAAATTGCTGCTAGAGAACACAAGGTGGTGAAGTAGATAGAGTGGTAGACCAGGAATCGGGAAGACTTGAGTTCTGATCCAGGCTCAGAGGCTTACTAGTAAGCTAGATACTTACTAGCTTACTCAGACTTTGGGCAAGTCACTTATTGTCAGTTGTTTCAGTTTCCTTAACTGTAAAATGGAGACAATAGTAGTGCCTACCTCTGAGGGTTGTTGTGAGGATTACATGAGATGATATTCATATTATATGTAGGACAGTACCTTCTGACATAGACTGTGCTTAAATCCTCTCTCCTCATCCTCTCTTCCTTTGTTCTTTCCTTCTTATATGATTACTTTGTTTTTGTCAGTGACTTCCTTGGAGTTTGTTTCATAGTGGATGTTTTAGTTGCTTTACTTGTGTAATTCCATTTAGTTGCTTTATTGGCATAATACCAAGGTATTTTCCAAAATGGCTATGCCAAATTACAGTTTCATCAGTCATATACCCACAATATGCCCGTCTTTCCACAATTTCTCCAACATTGATTATTTTCATCTCATCTTATGTCCTCCAGTTTCCTGGGCATGAGCTGAAACATGAGGGTTGTTTTGATTTGCATTTCTTTTAGTGATTTGCAACATTTATAGTGTTAATAGTTTAGAATTCTTTTGTGAAGTTTGTTCTTACCTTTCGACCACTTATCTATTGAGGAATGGCTTTTGGAAACCATTCATTGTTAAAAATCAACTGTGATTAATCCACATATGGTTTAATTTAGAATTGACTACAGAATAATTAAGATATGGAATATTTTTAGGATACCATGGATTTAAATTACTATGGGTTTCCTCTAAAAGTGTTTATTTCTGAAGTGAATTTTCTGATGAAACTCTTAAGTTTTTTTGGTAACGAAGTGTTTTCCTGTGACTTGTTTATCGGAGTAGCACGTAGACTAAATAATCCTCTGTGGTTATTAAAATAGCTTACTTTGAGCAGAGCCAGGAGAACACTGTACACAGTAACAGCAACATAGTACGATGACCAACTTTGATAGACTTAGTTCTTCCTAGTAATACAGTGATCAAAGACAATTCCAAAAGACTCATGATGGAAAATGCTATCCACATCCAGAAAAAGAGCTATGGAGTCTGAATGCAGATTGAAGCATGCTATTTTCACTTTTTTTGTTGTTTTTCTTTCTCATTTTTTTCCCTTTTGTTCTGATTATTCTTTCACAACATGACTGATGTGAAATACATTTAACATGATTGTACATGTATAACTCATATCAGATTTCTTGCTGTCTTAAGGGTGAGGAAGGGGAGAGAGGGAGAAAAATTTGGAAATCAAAATCTTATAAAAATGAGTGTCAAAAACTATCTTTACATGTAACTGGAAAAAATGAAATAGCTATCAATTGGGAAAAAATAAGATTGCTTATTTCATTATTATTGTTTAAGGAAATCACATTTAAAGATAAAATGCTTTAGTTATATTTGAATATGAAGCTTAATTTTAGATTTAATCTTAAAATATTGTGACCAGTTTGTGATACCTTATTTTTATGCCTATATTTTAAATTGTCACAAAATTTATTTATGTGTAAATTTCAGTTTTATGTAAATTCTTGACCAAATATGTTCAGTAAGTTTATCAGAATATTTCATTCTTTATTTATAGACGCATTCTACATTCTAAAGGGGAGCTGAGTGAAGATCGACATAAGCAGTATGAAGAATTTGCTATGTCTTATCAGAAATTACTGGCAAATTCTCAGTCTTTAGCAGACCTTTTGGATGAGAATATGCCTGATCTTCCTCAGGACAAACCAACACCAGAGGGTAAGCTATTGTAATAGTCAAATTTTGACACTTAAAGCTATTTATTGCTAACCTTTCTTTAGGATTAATAGTTGTTTATTGGCTAAGTTTTTATCTACAAGTGAAAATTACTCCTAGTTTTCTCTTTTTCAGGGTTTTTTGTATAGTGAATAGTATTAAAACCTGATAACAGTTGAAAAATGAAAGTGTGGTATAGTGGGAAGTAAATTGGCCAGGGATTTAGGGATCTGGTTCTGGTTCTGTGTTTTGTAACCTTGAATAATCTCTTCAGGCCTCATCTTCCTTATCTGTAAAATAAAGGACTTGGACTGTTTCACTGATCAGAATCTTTCTGGCTTTGAAATCCTACAGTTATGAGTAAGAGTAAGTTAACTTTTTTCCATACAATTTCAGAAAGTTTAGAAATATAGACACATATGTACTCAGCACCATCAAAGGGCTATTTCATTCCCTAGATCCTTCAAATGTAGGATTTCTGGGATTCAGAAAGATTGTCTAATCTGTCATTTTACAGATAAGGAAATTAAGGCCTAGAGAGGCTAAATGATGCGTCCTTTTTATTTTTTTTCTTTTATTCACTGAGAAAAAGTGGTACTTTGAATTTACTGTTCTTTACTAGGGAGAAAATTTGTTTCTGGATCTATACCAAAAGATCCTCTCTGATAGTCTTCCTAATGATTTGAGAGAGTGTTGAAAAGTGACTTGTAGTTTTATTTTAAATTTATATATTACCCTTGTAACAGTGTTAAAGATGGATATTGATGGGTAAAATTAGATATAGATGCAGAGAATTTAAGACATTATTTGAAAAAATTGAGAAAAAAACAATAGAAGAAAAAGTTTTACATTTTTTTTCAGTTGTAGAATTAGACAAAAGTTAAGTAGTTTAGTATCAGACTGTTATTAAATAGCCTAATGGGGAGTCAAGAGATTTGAATTCTCTTTCCATTTGGAGGTATAGAATAATATACTTAAAGCTTTGATTGTTAGCTTCCCCAGACCAATTTCTGGCCTTTTTCCTGCTTTCTTTACTTGACTGTGTCCACAGTGCTTCATAAGGTTTAGTAGTGGTAAATGAAGAAAGCAGACTTTAAGAATGAGTGTGAAAGCTGGAAATTTTAAATGAAAAGGTTAGAGGAATGCATTTTTGTGACTATTTTTGAAGATAGTTGTGAAAAATGAATTCGGTCATTCCTTAGGTACTTAAGTATTCGTGGTAGTTTTCTTAATACGGTGTGTTTAGATTAATAGTAAAGTCCAAATTAATACCATGAGGCTGTCATTAAAATGTTTCTGTTCTACGATTAGGTTTAATATTTAATTTGGCATTATCAAAAATGTATTAGTATGCTTCTGGTCATTCTGTAGTTGTTGATTTCACTTGATATAAGAAACTTCACAAGTTTTTCATACTCAGCATTGTTCAAAACTGAAGTTAGGGCAACTGAGTTCTTTTTAAACTGGGTCCTATTTCAGACTTTACTACATTGTCAGTGGTACTCTAATTTATATTGTTTTTGATAATTTATGTGGTGCCAGTGGAGAAGGGTACAAATATGAGAAGTGTTATTGAGGTGGAGTTGACAAGAAGTGATAACTGATAGTATATGAAAATCAAATGAAGGAGAAATGTCAAAAATTACAGGTTTCAAATGTGAGAATTATAGTACTACTAACAGAATATCGGTCCTAAAATATACTATACTGATGGCCTTTTTTAATAATAAAATTTACTGAATTCATGCAAAAGACTTGGCTCGGGAAAATAGGTTGTAAATTCCAGTGGATATAATAACGTATTAAGAAGACTAAGTGAAAAGAAAGTAGAAAATGATTTCTAGCAGGGCGATTCAAAGTAAGAGATCACAAATTAAGACTTCGGAGAGTTTTAAAAATTATTTCTTTCACACCAAAATTTACATTTTCAGTTTCGTAAGTAGAACTGTTTTCCATTGTTTACATGTAAATTATTGATAAACCAGATCTATAGTTCACATAGTTGCCAAATGGCCTTGTTAATATAAATGCGTAATTTGCCATAAAGTTAATGTTATTAAATATACACAGTTATTATAAAAATTCATACTTTGTTATATGTACAGTTGGTCCTTTGAATGATAAAAAATTGTCATTGGTATTTTATCGCTCAGTATTTGTTCTGTATCAGATATTGTAGTAGCACTTTCTAGTTTTAGTTTTTGTAAAGAATGGCCCCAAACCAAGAAGTAGAGAACTTGAGTGCTGTCCATGGTGAAAAATCTAAATTATCCAAGATAAACGTGATTGGTTTACAGTACAGAAGAAGGAGCACATTTGTTATCAGTGACTGAAAGCTAAGCTGCACTAATGGCAGCATGGAGAAATTTGGGGAAAGGAAAGAAGAGATAAAAGGTAACAAGGAGGAAAAAGCATATGAAGAGAAGTAGCAAAAATGTTTTTGCAAAAGTGGCAAGAGAGGAGAATAGGGTGACAAGGAGAGCTTATGACTGGTGAGACGAGAAAAGAAAAGTGAGAAAAGAGAAAAGAAAAAATCGGAATAGTACAGCCATTTAGGTGCATTTAGTAGTATAGTAAGCTAAGTCCTTTATCACTTGATAGTCCCTGAGAACTTTCTGGCATCATGCTACTAACATACTTCCCTAGAGTAGCACTGTAGTCTGATGCTATTTGCTACTGGGTAAACAACTCTATATACTTTAGCCCTTCAAGAAGACATCCTTTTATGACAGTGAAGATTACTGAACAATGAATACTTATATTATGTGTAGTAAGTACAATAATTGAACTTGACTAAGAAAGGTTTAATGTATTTAATATTCTGTATTCTAAGTCAGGAAGGCAGATAGTATGTTTTAGAAAAACTACTGCCCCAACAAACCAGATAAAATTTTTAAAAGTTTGGTTTTTAACCATTAGGAAAATTACCCATCCGTAACAGCTCATTCTCTGATCATTTCAGATAAGTGGATGGTTGCTATATTAAATATATGACAGATATACTTTTACTATTTTTTGTTTTAGGATTTAAAAAACTTTGTTCTGAACTTGGCCAAAATATCAACAAATGTGGATATTTCTATTTACAAAAAACAGGAAGAGATACTGTTTATGAAATTGAATCTCATTGCACAGAGTTGGGTTTTTTTAAAAAGCATGTGCTAAATTTAGAACTGTAATTCCCTGAGCTGTACCACTTATTAATTATTTTTTTGCTTTTAATTTTTATTCATTTTAAACTTAAATACAAAGTGAGAAAAAAAGAACATTTCCAAGTGCACAGCAGAACATAAAGAGAAGATTCAATGTAAAACCATAAATTTCCATTTCAGACTACTTTTTTCTGAAAAATTATTTAATAAATACTACACATTTCCCCCCCAAAGCTATGCAGCTTTTTGTGCTTCCTTCTAAGTTTTCTTTTGTTCTCTGCTGTGCACTTTTTTTCTCCTTCACTCCCCACCGTGCCCTACTGAAGGCTACAATTGAACACAAAAATATATATTTTATTTATGTGTGCATATGCACACACCCCTATATAAATACACATATACATACATACATGTAAAACCATACTGTACATATTTGTAATTATTGGTTTTTTTCTTTAGATGGATAGCATCTTCCTTCATAGATCCAAGTTTTTCCATGTTTTTCTAAAATCAACCAGCTTATCATTTCTTATAACATAGTATTCCATCACTACAACTTGTTTAGCCATTCCCCAACTGAAAAGCATTTATCATTTTAACCAGTCTGTTAGGTGTAAGATACTATCTGAGTTGTTTTAATTTGCATTTCTCTCATCAGTAATGATTTCAAGCATTTTTTTATATGACTCTTTATCGTTTTGACTTCTTCATCAAAAAACTGCCTGTTCATATCCCTTGAGCATTTATCAATTGGGGAGTGACTCATTCTTACAAATTTGACGAAGTTCTTTATATATTTGAGAAATGAGACCTTTCTAAGAGACTGTCTATGAAAATTTTTTCCCAATATTTTGTTTTCCTTCTAATCTTGGCTACATTGGTTTTATTTGCACAAGAACTTTTCAGTTTCACATAATTGAAATTATCCATTTTATACCTTGCTATGCTCTCTCTATCCCTTTTTTATTCATAAATTGTTCACCTATCCATGCGTCTGATGGGTAATATGTTTCATGTTCTTCTGATTTTCTTGTGATATCTCCCTTTATATGTAGGTCATGCATGCATTTTGACCAAGTACATGGTTTAAGATATTGGTCTATGCCCAATTTCTGTCAAATTGTTTTCCAGCTTTCCCAACCAATTTTTGCTAAATAATGAATTCCTATTCCCAAAACTTAAATCTTTACATTTGTCAGACAATGCAGGGTATTATATGTCTGCTTTGTTCCACTTATTTATCCCTCTGTTTCTTAGTCAGTACTAGATAGTTTTGATATTTACTGCCTCATAAATACAGTTTGAGGTCCTTCCTTTACATTTTTTTATTAGTTTCTTTGAAATTGTTGACCCTTTGTTCTTCCAAATGACTCTTTTTACTATTATTATTTTTTCTCAGTAAAATTTTTTTTAGTAATTTAATTGAGATGGCATTAAATAAATAGGTAAAATTGTCATTTTTGTTATTGGCTTTGCCTAACCATAAACAAATAATATTTCTCCAGGTATTTAAATCTGACTTTATTATATAAAAAGTGTTTTATAATTATGTTCATATAGTTCTTTGGGTATATTTTGGCAGATGTACTTTCAGGTATTTTATTATGTCTACATTTATTTTAAATGGAGTGTCTTATTATATCTTCTTTTTGGTGATATGTAAAAATGCTAACAATTTATGTGGATTTATTTTACACCCTACACTTTGCTAAAATTATTAATTGTTTCAACTAATTTTTACTTGAATCTTTAGAATTTTCCAAGTATGTGATCATATCATCTACAAAAAAAAAGATCGTTTATTACCTCATTTCATATTCTGATTTCTTCAGTTTCTTTTTCATTTATTGCTGTTGCTAGCATTTCTAAAACAATATTGAATAATATTGGTGACACAGTGATTTCATTGTTTATCTCTTTTAATTAAATATATTTTAGCTTTAACTTTGTCTGAGATCCTCATTGCTATTTATTCCTGCTCTTTTTACATCAGCTGAGTGTAATAAGTTCTACTCCAGCCCTTTATTTTAACTCTGTGTGTAGCTCTCATTTTTAATTGTGTTTCTTGTAAATGATGTCTTATCAGATTCTGATTTTTAATCCATTTCCGTTTTATGAGTAAGTTCATCGCATTCACATTCAAAGTTATAATTATTAATTGTGTATTTCCCTCCATCCTATTTTTCCTCACTATTTATACTTCTTGTTCTGTTTACCTTATCCCTCCAAGTCTTATTTACTTTTAACCAGTACCTTGCCTTCCTGTTCCTTAGTCTACTCACCCCTATAAGAGTCCATCCATTATCCTTTCCTCCCAGCCCCCTAATTCTTAACCTACACACCTTTCTACAACTCCCTAACTTATCCTGTCCCCTTGCCTTCTTATTTCTATATAAATTCGGAAGACTTTTGTACCCTTCTAGATGTTTATGTTGTTCACCTCTTTTACCCAGTTCTGATGAGAGTAAGGTTCCAGCAGTACCAGCTCTCTTCTTCCACTTGCTTCATCTATATCAGTTCTTCCTTTCACACCTCATTTATATGAGATAATTTTTAATGAATTGTTTCCTTCTATTACATTTTGTACCTCCTTTTCCATTTGGCCCATTTTACTTTTTAAGGAGTTCTTCTCTTCAGTGAGTTTTTGTGCTTCCTTTTCCATTTAGCCAATTCTACTTTTTAAGGATTTGATTTCTTCAGTGTAATTTTTTTCCATTTGGCCAGTTGTATTTTTTTAAGGACTTGTTTTCTTCAGTGTACTTTTTTCCTATTTGGCCGATAGTATTTTTTAAGGACTTGTTTTCTGTAGTCAATTTTGTCCTTTTTCTAAGCTATTGACTCTCCCTTGCATACCACTCATTCATTTCCTTTCCCAATTTTTCTTCTATCTCTCTTATTTGACTTTTAAAATCCTTCTTGAGCTGTTCTCAGAAAGCTTTTTGGCCTTGAGACCAGTTCATATTTCCCTTTGAGGTTTCAGATGTGAGTGTATTGACAATATTATCCTGTTCTGAATTTGTGCCTTGATCTTGTCTGTTCCCATAATAACAGTCTGTGGTCATTGTCTGTTTCTGCTTATTTCCTGGCTTTTAAAGTTGAGCTCTCCTGCTGGAGTGCAGGGGGCACTGACCCAAGCTTCCTGTGCTGGGAGCCCAGGACCTTGTCACTGGCTTTGTGTGTTGGGGCCTCAGGTGCTTTCAGATGGAGGCTGTAAGTGTCTGGGAGCTTACCTGGTGTTGAGCTAGGGTCAGCAGCACTGGAGCTCTCAGGTGGAGGTGGGGAGTCTGGCCCCTGGGGGATTCCTGCTCACCTGGGCTTTTGTAAAGTACTCAAATGTTTGGCTGCTAGGGGATGTCAATGCCAATTCTTTGCCACCACAAGAGCTGCTATAAATATTTTTGTATGTGTTGGGTCCTTTACCCTTTTTCATGATCTCTTTGGGATACAGACCTAGAAGTGGTATTGCTGGATCAAAGGATATGTACAGTTTTACAGCCTTTTGGGCATAGTTCCAAATTGTTCTCCACAATGGTTCGATCCGTTCACAACTCCCTCAACAATTCACCAGTGTTCCAGTTTTCCCACATTTTCTCCAGAATTTTTCATTTTCCTCTTTTGTCATGTTAGCCAATCTGACAGGTAGGATGTGGTACCTCAGAGTTGTTTTAATTTGCATTTCTCTAGTCAGTAGTGATTTAGATTTTCATGTGACTATAGATAGCTTTAATTTCTTCAGCAGAAAACTGCCTGTTGATATCCTTTGACCATTTATCAGTTGGGTAGTCCAACAGTTCCTATGTTGTCTCTCCATGCTCTGTTGGCCAGATCAGTTGTTTTTCTAATAAGATATTTCACATTCTCTCTTTTTTTTATTCTTTTGTTTGTTTTTTGGCTAGGAAGTGGGGTTAAGTGACTTGCCCAGGGTCACACAGCTAGAAAATGTCAAGTGTCTGAGGTTGGATTTGAACTCAGGTCCTCCTCAATCCAGGGGTGGCTCTGTCCACTGTGCCACCTAGCTGCCTCTTATTTTTTTGTTCTTTAGATTTTGTTTTATTTATTTGTATTTTATAATGTCAGCTTCCACTTGCCCAATTCTAGTTTTCAAGGAGTTATTCTCTTAAATTTTTGCTTCTCTTTTTCTTCTTGATCGACTTCTCATAATTTTCTTGGTTCTCTTGGATTGCTCTTATTTTTTTTTTCCCTAAATTTTTCCTCAGTTTCTTTTGATTGACATTTCTTTGACTTAGGAGTGACTATTTTAACTTCACTAGAGTGGCTTTTTAAACTGTACTAATCACTTATCCAAGCTGTTTTCTCTTCCCTTTAGTGTTTTTTAGATTAAATTTTTATTGGTCTTATTTTTACATCATCAGAATTTTTCCCAGTAGCTTTCCTTCTTCCTCTCTCAGAGGGCCATTCCATAGAGGTGAAAAAGAAGATACTCAGCAATATGCTAGGATATTATCTTTCCTTGATCCTTCCAACATAGATTATTCCCATCTTTAGTCATTTTTAGAGAAAGAGAAAGAAATCTCTTAATAGTTTCATTGTCATTTTTATTTGGTTAATTGTTATGTTTATTTACCTTTCTTATATTTCTGATATCTAGGGTGTTTGAAAAGCAAAGAATTTGTTCCCATCTGGTTTTCTCTCTAGAAATGCTTCATATGCTTCTTTTATTGATTGTACAGCTTTTATTAATAGTTTGTCTTGGTATAACATCTTGAGTTGCATCTTGAGCGCCTTTGTTCTTTGGAATATATTATTCCATTTCTTTTTGAGGTTTCTGATGGGTGCAGAGCATTCTTAAGGCTTTCAGATTCCTTTCCTTTATATTTGAAGATCTTTCTGCTGATTGCCCTGCATGGAAGAAGCTGAGATGGCTTGGAGGTCTAGCCCCTAAGGAAACTACAATCAAAGGGCAAAATCAAGAAGTCAACAATAGGGAAGTACAAGGAAAAAGACTAAAATCACCAAAGATACTCAGGAGGAAGAAAACTCAGCTAAAGACTTCAAACGTAGTCTATGCAGCAAAGGGCTTTTTTTCCCCTCAGGCAATCTGTGGATTCTTTAAATTGGCCCTTTGTTTTGAGTGTTCAAAAGTCCTGAGCAGTTTTCTAGTATTATTTCCTGTTTAGGTTTTTCTACTTGTTATATTCTCATGGGAAAGCTTTAATTCTTAAGTTGTCTCTTCACATCCTGTCTTAGGGATGAATATGTTTTGCTTGCATAGAGATCATGTTTCTTTTAATCATTTTTTTTTGGGGGGGGCAAGGCAGTTGGAGTTAAGTGACTTGATCAGGGTCACATAGCTAATAAATGTCAAGTTTCAAGTGTAAGGCAGGATCTGAATTCAGGTCCTCCTGACTCCAGGGCTAGTGCTTTACCCACAGCATCACCGAGCTGCCCCCTTTTCTTTTTATTTAATGCTTTTTACTTTTCTTCTTTCAGGTTGTCCTTCACTTCTATACATTTGCATTGCTAGTCAGTTACTCTTTTGTTTCTTTTGTGAGATTAGCTACCATGGATTCAAGTTTTCTTATTCTGCCAATTAGTTTTGCTGTGCAGGCTATAAATTCTGTTTTCACAGTTCTTATTTTTCTTTTAAACCATTCATGGACTTCCTGCTGTGGTCTTGTGCTCTTTTGGGAATCCAAAGAGGGTCTTCTGCCTCATCAGGTGTTTATTTAGTTTCCTTTTGTTTTATAGTATTTATTCATAGCTGAGAATATGGGAAGCCATATTCCTTTCTCTTATTAATACCTGATTTATTTGCTTATGTTTGAAGTCTTTAGTTGAGTTTTCTTCCTCCTGAGTATCTTTGGTGATTTTAGTCTTTTTCCTTGTATTTCCCTATTGTTGACTTCTTGATTTTGCCCTTTGATTGTAGTTTCCTTAGGGTCTGGACCTCCAAGCCGTCTCAGCTTCTTCCATGCTGGGCAGTTTCTGTTTCATCGGCCTCAGTCTCTGCCCCAAGTGGCTTTTAGAGGGATGGAACTGGCCCTGTCTGGTTTTACAGTATTCTTTCCCCCATCCCTTGCCTCTGTTTTTCATTTCTCTTAGTGATCCTTGTATAGCTGAAAGCTCCTGTGTTGCTGTCCCAGCTAGAGCAAACCCTTTGGGTAGAATTGATTTCTCTTGCAACCCTGTCAGTTTGCTGAGTGAACATATTAAGAATTTAGGGTTTGGACTTCTCTTTTGTTTATTGCATTTTTACCTTGTTTGAGAAGGGCTAAGTCTGTCAAAGTTAGTTCTCCTAACTTCACTCAGCATCAGTCCATACAAGTCTTTCCATGTTTTTCTGAAGTCTGCTTGCTCATCATTTCTTATAGCACAATAGTATTCCATTACATTCATCTACTACAACTTGTTCAGCCATTTCCTAACTGATGGGCATCACCTTAATTTCCAATTCTTGGCCACCACAAAAAGAGCTGCTATAAATATTTTTGTACATGTGGGTCCTTTTCCTATTTTTATGATCTCTTTGGGATACAGCCCTAGACTCATTCCCTTTTTCAAGCATAAGTTTATATTATGCCTTGTCAAAGGCTTTTTCTGCATATCTTGAGAATCATGTAGTTTTGGATGATTTTATTTTTAATATGATTGTTTGAATGTTGAGCCATCATTTTCTCCCTAGTATGAATGCAGCTCGGTCATAATGAATAATTTTTTTTTTGGATAAATTGCTGTATTCTCTTCAACAGGATTTTATTTAAAATTTTTGAATAGATATTCATTAATTAAATTGACCTATAATTCTCCTGTTCTTCATCCTTTTAGGACTACATTTGTATCATAAAAAGGCTGTAGAGTCCTTTTTTTTCCAACTTGGGGGACTACTTTTTATAGTATTGGTATTATTCTTTAAAAGTTTAATGGAATTCTGTAAATCCATCAGGATGAAGAATTTTTTTCCTTTAGTAATTTTTTTTTAAGGCAGTTGGGGTTAAGTGACTTGCCCAGGGTCACACAGCTAGTAAGTGTCAAGTGTCTGGTCTGAGTTCGGATTTGAACTCAGGTCCTCCTGATTTCAAGGCTGGTGCTTTATCACACTGCGCCACCTAGCTGCCCCTTAGTAATTTCTTCCTAGCTATTTCTACTTCCTTTTCAGAGATTGGATTATTTATGATCTCTATTTAGTCAACTATTTAGCTTTGTTTAGCATATAATGCCAGGTTCTGATAATTCTTTTTTATTTCTTCTGATTTTATTGTGGTGTTGCCTTTTTCATTTGCTAGTTTGTTGGCTTTTCTTCCCCTTTTCTTTTTAATTAGATTGACTAAAGATTTATCAATGTTTTTAATCTTCCCAAAGTTTTCATTTGCTAGTTTGTTGGCTTTTCTTCCCCTTTTCTTTTTAATTAGATTGACTAAAGATTTATCAATGTTTTTAATCTTCCCAAAGGACCAGATTTTAGTAGGAGTTATTATTTCTACGGTCTTTTTGTTTCCAATTTATCTATTTCTCATCTAATGTTCAATATCTTTTCTGCTTATTTTGTGTTTAGTTTTTGGCTTTCCTGTGTAAAAGATAAAGATTCAATTCATCAATCCTTTCCTTTTCAATTTTTTAAAATGTATTTTTTTTAGGATGTAATTTTTCCCCAAGGACTGCTTCATCATTATAATTTTTTTTACATAATTATTACTTTTATGATTTTTTTTTTGGCCTACTCATTATTTAAGATTTCATTGTTAAATTCCCTTGACTCTGTGTCTTTTTGGATGTGGCTTTGAACAGATTACTGTTTTTATTGTGTCATGGTCTTTACAGGATGTGTTTATTATGCCTTCCTTTTTACATTTATTTAAAATATCTCTGTGCTCTAATAGATGGTCAGTTTTTTTTAAAGTTGTAAGTAGTGCTGAGAAATACATATTTTTAAAAAATTTTTTATTGATTTATTTTGATATATCAACAATCACTTCCATATGCTTTTGAGTTGAAAATTTTTCTCCCCCCTCCTCCCCCCCACCCTCCCCAAGATGGCACACACTCTAATACAGGCTTTACATTTACATACCCATTAAACATGTTTTCACATTAGTGAAGTTGTAATTAAAAATTAAAACCAATAGGAGGAACCATCAGAAAGATGAAACAAGACTCAACAGAAGTATAAAATAAGTGATGGCGATTCGACTTCATAGTTCTTTCTTTGGGTGTGGACAGCATTTTCCATCCCGGGGCCTCTGGAGATATCTTAGATCCTTGTAATGTTGAGAAGGGTTCAGTTTAACAATATTAGTTATTGCATAACGTGGCTGTTACTGTGTACAAAGTTCTCTTGGTTCTGCTCACTTCACTCAGCATCAGACCATATCAGTCTTTCCAGGTTTTTCTGAAGTCAGCCTGTTCATCATTTCTTATAGCACAATAGTATTCCATTACATTCATATACCACAACTTGCTCAGCATTCCCCAATTGATGGGCGTCCTCTCAGTTTCCAATTCTTTGCCACCACAAAAAGAGCTGCTATGAATATTTTTGTACATGTGGGTCCTTTTCCCATTTGTTTGATCTCTTTGGGATATAGCCCTAGAAGTGCTATTGCTGGATCAAAGGGTATGGACATTTTTATAGCCCTTTGGGCATAGTTCCAAATTGTTCTCCAAAATGGTTGGATCATTTCACAACTCCACCAACAATGTATTAGTGTTCCAGTTTTCCCACATCTTCTCCAACATTTATCATTTTCCTATTTTGTCGTGTTGGCCAATGTGATAGGTGTGATGTGGTACCTCAGAGTTGTTTTGAAAATACATATATTCTTTAAAAGTCTTGTTTAGAAGATGCTATAAGTTTTTAACTCTAGTTTCTCTAACAATTTATTCAGTTCTTTATATCAAACAGAAATAAGTAAAAAGGTAAAGTGTATGTAAAGAGAACAAAAAAAAATTCCAATTTAGGGGGAAAAAAACAGTGTTAGAGACAAATGGAAGAAAACTTAACTTTTATACCTTTAAATATAAATGGATTAAACAACCCAATAAAATGAAAGAATGTAAATTAGATAAGAAAACAGCATAATTTGTTGCTTATAAAACACATACCTAAAGAGCTATAGATATACATAGACCAAAAATGAGAAGCTTTAACAAAATTTATTCAATATCAGATGAATTAAAAAAGTAGGAGTTGTAATCATTCTTACTGGAAAAAGCAAAAATAAAAATTTGCAGCATAAAAAGAGATAAATGTGGAAACTATATTTGCTGAAAGGAATCATACAGGCAACAAATCAGTATCAATGTTAAACTCATATACTCCAAATGTCTTAGCAAAATAAATAAAGAAAAAATTAACTGAAGTCAGAAGACGTAGTAATACAATAATAGCCCGAGACTTCCCCCTCTTTCAGTTTTCAGTCTACAGAAAGAAAAACCAAATTGAAAATGTATAATTGAACAGATTTCTGCAGAAATTAGAGCTAAAAGACTTATAGTATCTTAATTTTAAACAGGGTTTGCTAAATTAGTACTACATCAAAGTTTTACAAAAACAGGTGATGAATTAGGGCATAGAGTTAACTACAAGTAAGTATAAAAAGGCAGAAATAGTAAACACATCCTTTATAGACTATAATGCAGTAAAGATAGCATTCTGTTCATGGAGTACAAATAAAAGGCACAGAACCAAATTGAGACTTAAAAATATGATCCTAAATAATGTGTGAGCCGAAGAAGACATCATATAGAAAATAATTATGTGAAAGAAAGTGATAGTGATAAAATGTCATTATTTCTAAGGTGTAGTTAAGAAGTCCTCAAAGTAAAAATAGTGTCCCTTAAGACACACATTTTCAAAATAGAAAAGGAGAGCATTAATGAACTGCTTATATCTTGGGTACTTAACTCTTTTCCAAGAAATTTGATATAAAGACTGCTTCCCATTTGACTGCTTCCTTTCTTAATCTAGATGCATTAATTTTATTTGTGCAGAAGCTCTTCAGTTGAATGTAGAGGTCTTTTTTTGTTACTGTTATAAATTACCTCTATCACTTGTTAGATTAAATATATATCTCCTACCTACAACTATGAAAGGCATATAAATTATTTCTAATTTTTTAATAGTATGATATTTAAGATTCAAGTCATGTATCCATTTTGTATTTATTGGGGATGTCATTGGTATTATCAGTATTGTCTTTGGAAATATAGTCTCCAACATTTAAAGAATGTATAATTTTATTGAGGTGATAATATGGTACATAGCTATGTGTTATGAAGGCTATTAACTATCGGATTAGTTCTATAGATATTAAATACTCTAGGAATATAGAAGAAAAGATAACCATTGCTTAAAATGTTAAAAGGTGCTTCCTAAAGGAGATGGAACTTGAAGCGGGCCTTTAAATGGCATGGAGATACTCTGTTAGTCATTTTAGCTTTATCATTTATACAGAGAGACTCAATATATCACATAACTACTCAATTTTTTCTAAGTTTAGAGCTCAGAGTAAATACTGGTAAAAATCTACTTGTGTCTCCTATTTCATTTTTACACCGTGTTTTTCTTTTCAGTGTTTTAAACAAGTTTTTGAACTTTTTAGAAGCTCAGATTTTGTGATTTAAGATTGAAGATGGTCTTATAAAAGTTTGGTTCTTTCTTTTTTTTTTTTACTTAAGTAACAGTAATTTGGATATTTCTTACTGTGTTTTGGGTATGATTTGTAACATGATAGGTTTAAAATAAAAATTCTTATTGAGTAGAACGTAAATTCTCATTTTTTGTTATGTTCAATATGTATATAGTGGTGCTAACTTGTGTTGCTTTTTTTAGAGCATGATTATCTTTACTGGTAAACCTGGAGATGTTAGAAGGTGGTATATGGGAGGATGAAGATGCTCGAAATTTTTATGAGAACCTTATTGATTTGAAGGCTTTTGTTCCAGCCATTTTATTTAAAGACAATGAAAGAACATATCAGAGCAAAGACTCTAATAAAGAAGATTCCAAAGGTAATATTACAAATCGATTTAAAATATACAGAAACTTGTTTCAAAAAGTATTTTGCCTGAAGTTATTATTTTAGTTAAAATTATGATCAGTTTGTTAGTTATAAAATTTTTGAGATGATAGTCTGAGATAAATTTTGCTAGGTAGATCGTTTAGTTGAAGTGATCATAATGTGCTATGATTTGTGCTGATAATGTACTGGTTTCAACGTCCTCAAATTGGTGATTGTATTTATTAACACTTAATGAATGTATATAAGATTCTGATAAGAAATATGTTTCTTCAAAATGTGACAGATGGTGTGTAAACTGATATTGTTATAATTAAAACTGATAGGTTCTCTTTAGTTTCATACTTCTGTATAGGGAGTCCTCAATTCTTTTTGTGAGGAACTACTTCTTGATTCCTCAAAGCTTATAAGGGTGATTATATACTTATACAATCCTTGATTTGTCTGGACATAGGCATTGCTGTTTCTGGGAGCTCAAGGAATCCTGTGATTCCCCTGGAACTTGTAGCAAATTGCAAAGTGATGGATGTACAATGTGGATATTTTTTTGTAAAAGCTGTGAGATCTGCCAGTAGATCATGATGTATTGTTTGAATTTCCTTTGTAGACCTTTCAGCAACATTTTAAAAATTGGTACTTTGTGATTCGTGAAGTGTGATGTTTGGGAGTTGTGTGCTTTGTGATTGTGCAGATATCTTTAAAATACTTAGTACTATAGTGTCAATATGTCATTGTTTACATTTCTTTCTATGAGGAATGTATGATAAAATGTTTTTTGTTTGCAGCATTTTATTAACAAACCTTAGAATTTTAGATTTTTTTAGTTTAGGTTTTTTTTTTATTGGAGAGAGTGGGAGGGGCGCTGCCTATCCTTGAGTTATATAGAAAACATTTCGTGTTGCCTCATTTGGTGGGATATGAGCTAATCAAAGGAATCATAGTGGATGAAAATTGCCACTGTACTTCTGTGAAGTTTTAAGCACAAAAATTAGATTATATTGAACTTTGAACTAATACCATCTTCGTGGTTGGTGTGTCATTATGAGACTGCTTTAAGTTGTCAGTTTTAAGATAGATATATACCATCATATACTAAATTTCATTGAAGAGTAGGATAGCAAAGTTAAATTTTTTTTCTGTTTCTGTTGTTTGTAATTCTAAAGTATTTTCCTTGCCTGAGAGTAATTTCTAAAATATTTGTTGACTAAACAGTTTTTCTGATTTTTAAGACCTTAAGAAAATTTTTTTGTGTTCTGGTTTGCCACAACTGTGCATATACTACTGTGCTATAATAGTAAAAATATGACTTTTATTTATTGAATTTTGTTTGTCTCTTTTTCCTGAGGCCAATGGGGTTGAAGAGATATGTGGCAATGAATTATGGCATATTGAAGAATACCTATTGTTAAAATGTTATGTAATTGAAAAGCTTCACTTTAGCTCTTTCGATCACTTTCATTTTAGTGATGTTGCATTCTTGATTTGAACTTAATAGATATATCTCCTTCTTGCCTTCTCTTATGGACACTACCCAAAGTGTGTCTTCAGTGATAGGCAAAAGCATCATTACTTGAATTGATGACGGGTAGAAGAGGGAAGATCAGAACTTACAGAAACCTATTAGTTACTCTTAAATGGTTGCTTTTTTCCCCATCTAAATTTTCTTGGTTTACAAAGTCATTCATAATCTGGTTCCAGCAACCTTTCTGTTCTTAGTCTCATTGCTGTCCAGTTTTTTTGAAGCAGAGAGGGTTCATAATGACCTCATCACTGACCTGATTGACAACTGACAAATTGAAATTCCTTAAGCAGTTGTTTGACCTTGTTACCTTTTCAAAATGATTTAGGGGCTCCCTGTTGTCTCCAGAATAAAATATAAAATACTCTGTTAAGCTTTTAAAGCCCTTTGCAATCTTGGCCCCAGCTTATTTCACATTATTATCCTTCATGCCTTCTATATTTTAGCCAAACTGGCCTCCTTGCTGTTTCCTGTACGTGATATTCCATCTCCTGTTTCCTTGCCTTTGGGCAGGCTGTGTGCCCCCTTACTTAGAATGTATTCTTTCTTTACCTCCATTTAGGTAATGCAAGTATCATTACCTTATAGTACTGAAGTGCCCTACCACTTGTGCTCCCTGTATCTTATACACTGTAACTTTTTTTTTTTTACTATATGCAACTCTTATGTAAGATTCTATCACAGTATTTTAAAAAGTAGATTTTTCTTGTTACATGAGCTTTATCTTTCCCTGTGTCCCTTTCTCTTCCAATATAACAAAAATTTCTTTTTACAAAAGAGCAAGAGAACAAAATTTGACGGAAGTGATCATTATATTGAAAAAAACCTGACACTATACATAGTATTCCATATCCGTGGGATTCTCCCACCCTCAAAGGAGTGGAGGGAGATGTCTTCTCATTGTCTCTTCTTTAGGGGCCAAGCATGTTCTTTATAGTTTCACAACATGAATTTTCAGTTATTTTTATATATTTATATATTTATATTGCTGTAGTATAACATTTATGAAAAAAGAGGGTAAAGGTCGCATTTAAATGGATCCATGTTTAATCAGTTTTATTTCTCCTTACTCCTCCAGTATATATGTATGTACACATGCATGCACACATATATGCACATTCTCACTCTTCTATCCTCAGTTCTAGTGATGTGTTTTTACTATTTCTCTTTTCATTCCACTACTTCTCAGGGAGTACTGTGTTACTGGATCTAGCCAGCTCACCTGTGGCCTCTTTATTTGCACTGTGACTTCTCAGGCAGTGCTTTATGACTGCTCGGCCTGCCAGGGCCTTTGTTTTTTTTTCCCCTGTGATTTTCCAGGGAATACTGCATCACCCCAAATCTACCTGTCCAGATGTCTTAGGGTCCCCTCCCTTCTGAGTCGTCCTGTCAAGGCATGCTTCGGCCCTGAGTCTAAACCCTGGCCTCTGTCTTGCCTCCAGGGCCTGCCTCAGTGCTCTGGAGGTAGTTTCCAGACCAGATTGACCTCATATTGCTAGCTTCTGCCTTCTGTCCAAACTCCCACAGGTTTTACTTTCTTCTGTGGGGAGTTCCTGCCCATTTGGGAGTCAGGGCTCCTGGGGCTGACAGGATTCAGTGTCACCTCCTGCCACAAGTTTGGCAGTCATTGATAATCCGCCTATATTCACTCCTCAATTAGAATATTTCCTCCCTGTCATGCTCTATTTCAGTGATTTCTTAACACCTGGCTGTTACTGTAGAAATTCCTTTCCACTGTGTTCTTTGCTTTGCCTGTTCCATAGTTAACAAATTTGCTTTCATTTTTCTTTCTCACTTCTGGCAGTCACTGAAACTTAGCTTGCTCTTGTTGATGGGGGATCCCTACTTAATCCTTGATGATGGGGGTTCCTACTTGCACTCTCTAATGTGGAGTACACTTTAACTCATAGCTCCAAATTGATGAAGGAGCTGGAACACTTCTTGCTTTCTATTGTCTATTCAGTATGTTTTCTTTACCAGCACCAAGTAACGTTCTTCCTGTAAGGTTCTCTCAGTTCATATTTATCACCCCAACAAGATTCTGGTACTTGTTACATTCTGACCTCCTACACTCTCCTCCTTTACTCTATGAGTTTGGCACCTGCCTCAAGATCTTTTCCTTCCTAACTCTTGCCCACATATCCTTCAATACACATATTAATTGTACCTCAATAACCCTGACTTCCCAGTTTCTTGATTTACTCATTTCCCATGCCCTACTCCCCAATTCCACTTTAGCCTGCACACTGATGTGCTTGGTCTTATTAGCACCCACAAGTGTTCATGAACTCTGATTTTCCTTTATTGGATTATAATCTTTTATTGATCTATGTTTCCCTCTATCTTGTTAACTGTTGCCGTGTTCTTCTTTCTCACTGTGACCTCCATTCCTTCCACTCTCAGTTCCCTCCTGGCCGTTATCCCTACACTGTGTATATTCTCCTCCCTTCCTTATCTTGACCCCTTGGTAAGCCACTTCAGTTGTACACAATCTTGTTGTATTAAATGCCTTGCCCCCTTATCCTATCAGCAGTGCCTTTGTGGAAACCCCAACTTTGGATTATTTCCTCCATCTGCTGTCTTTGTTGATATTCACATGTTCGAATCTGGAGAAAATTATAAAACTGTGGTGACTGGGTCCACGACAGATTTCTGTTATGTAACCTTAAGTGGGCCCTCATTACATCAAGGCAGTCTTTTTTTATACTTTACTAATTGGTTCTCTATCCCACTTGCTGCAGTGGCTTTTCCAAACTTTTTCATCTCCTCTCAGACTTCTCAAGAATCCCCCTCCCTTCACCCTCTCAATGAGAACTTTACTTCATACTCAACAAAAAAATTGAGGCCATTCACTGAGACCTTCCTGTTTTCTCCTCCTCTTCTTCATCTCATAACAACACTAAGATGTCCTTCACTGTTATTTCTTCCTTCATCCCTGCCTCAGATCAAGAAATGGTACTTGGAAAAGGAAATGCCTTTGCATACATCTTTGTTCCAATTCCATCTCATCTTCAGCACATTGCCCCCTTTGTCATCCATACTTTTACCAATAGTCTTCAGTCTCTTCCTTTCTACTGGCAGCTTCTGTGTTGCCTATAAACACAATCATGTCTCCTCCATCCATTAGAAACAACAACAGCAACAACCTTTTGACAAAGAATTGGTAATTGAGGGGATGCCCATCAGTTGGGGAATGGCTGACTGAACAAGTTGTAGTATATGAATGTAATGAAATATTATTGTGCTATAAGAGATGTTGAGCAAGTGGATTTCAGAAAAGCCTGGAAAGACTTACATGAACTGATACATAGTGAAGTGAGCAGAACCAGAAGACCATTGTACACAGTAACAGGTACATTTTGTGATGATCAGCTATGATTGACTTGTGATGGAAAATGCTGTTGACATGCAGAGAAAGAACTGATGGTGTCTGAATGCAGATTGAAGCATACTATTTTTGCTTTAAATTTTTTTTGTTTTTTTTTCCCTTTTCTGTTTTTTCTTTCACAATCTGACTAATATAGAACTATGTTTTACATGATTGCACATATGTAACCTATGTCAAATTGCTTGCCATCTTAGGAAGGAGGGAGGGAGGGAGAAAATTTGGAACTCAGTTTTATTTAAAAGAGATTTTAGAATTGTCTTTACATGTAATTAGAAAAAAAATAAAATACTATTTAAAACAAATACCAAAAAACCCTCTCTTTTTCTGTCCATTTCCACCAGCTTAGTCTTCTATTTCTCCTCCGTTTTGTGGCTAAATTTGAGAAAGTCATTTATACTAGGTGCCTTTACTTCCTTTCCTCTCTCTTTTTTTTTAATTAAAAATTAAATTTTTATTATTTTTTTTACAGTTCCAGAATTTCTCATGGTATCCCTGTCTTTTTCCTCCCCAGAAAGCCATCCTGTATTTTACAAAACATGTTTCTTAAAGAAAGAGGAAAGAGAAGGGAGGAAATATTGGCAAAACCAATCAATAATATGTCCAAAAAAAGGTCTGAAAATATCTGTGGTCTTCTACCTCTGTGGACCTCTCACTTCTACTAAAGGGTAGGGTGGGAGTGTCTTCTCAGAGCTCTCTTCTTTGGGACCATGCTTGTTCTTTTGTAATTTGTAGCATTCACTTTTGTCTTTGTGTGGTTGTTCTTTCCATACCATTCCATTGTGGCAGTTACTGTGTATATTATTTTTTTGGCTCTACTTCACTCTTCATCTGATCAAGCAAATCTGTCTGTGCATCTGTAAATTCATATTTGTCATTTTTTGCAGCATAGTAACATTGCATTCCATTTATGTACCACAGCTTATTTAGTCACTCTCCAGTTGATGGGTATTTACTTTTTTCCATTTCTTACTACCACAAGAAGTGCTACAAATAAATATAAATATCTACTATAACTATTTTGGTATATATAGTAATATTTTTAAAAAACTAATTAATTAGATTTTCTTTTCAAATGGAGAGCCACCTCTCTACTTCCTCCCAGTCAATTCCCCACTTTCCCTGCCATGAGAAAGCAAGAAAAACAAAACCTCCGTTACAAACAAGTATAGTCAAAGTAAATTTTCAAATTGGCTGTGTCTAAAAAAAAATCTCTCACAATACACTCTGAGTTACAAGGCTACTTTTTATCAGTGGTCCCTGTGTGGCATAAACCTGATTACATGTCTAGATCAGAGGGTATGGTCCTTTTAATCACTATTTATATAATTCCATATTGCTTTCCAAATCATAGGTCTACCAAAAATGCAGTAGTGTGGAGTAGTGTCTCTTTTTTCTAAATAGTCTGTGGGCTGGCTTGCAGACTGGTCTCTTAATTGCCAAATCAGATGGCCTTTTCTCATCCTTCTTGATCTTTCCACAGGCTTTGACACTGCCCATCACTGTCTTATCTTTCATACTGTCTTCTGAATTTTTATGAGACTGCCCTTGTCCTTTGGTTTCGTGTCTTACCTATCTGACTCTCCTCAGACTCCTTTGCTAGATCCTTATCCAAGTGTGCTAACCATGGTGGTTGAGACTCTCTATACGTACCCTTCCTTACTGTTTTACTTTGTGATCCCATGAACTTCCATGGATTCAGTTATCATTTCCTTGCAAAAGATTCTCTGTTTTATTTATCCAGTCCACACTTCTTTCCTGACCTCCAGTCCCACGTGTCCAGTTGCCTAAGGAACATCTTGCACTAGATGTCCTGGAGACATTTTAAACTCAACATGTCGAAAACTGAATCCAATCTTTTCCTGCAAAGCCTCCCCTCAAATCAGCTACTTATTTTTTTTATCCCCTATGTTATTTAATAGCACACAGAGTACATAGTAGATAACTAATGTATGTATATTTTACACACACACACAGACACACACACACAGACACACACACTTAATAATATCTCTGAAATTATAATGGAAGACAGTGTGACAGTCTGACTTTTCCTTGCACTTTTATCCCCTAGTGCCTAGTTCAGTGCCTGGAACATGATAGGCACTTAAAATACTTGTTGATTGGTTGATTTGCTTTTCAGACAGAGCTAGCTTTTTAAAATCTGCCCCCCCCCTTTTCTGAAATGTGAAATATACTTGTGAAGTGCTATAATGGTCTAAGTATAATATCATCATGTTAAATTTTCTTTCAGATTTGTTGCTAGCTAAGGTTTATAAAACATGGTTACTTTTAAGTGATAGAAGTGAAATGAACTAATTTAATCAAATACTTGTCTATTTACATGAGAGGCAGTGTGATATAATAGGTAGAGAGCTGACTTTTGAGCCAGGAAGACCTCTCAAATCCAACCTCTGATAGCTAGTGATTCTGTGATCCTGAGCACATCACTTAATCCCTCCGTTTTATAGGCAACTCTCTTAAGACTTTAAGTTGCAGAGAATACATTGTATCTGCATTGGTAGAGGGAGTTTTCTGAAAAGGGAATTCCCTGTACCAATAAAATCACAGGTCCAGTCCTGATCCCTGTCCCTATTTTACACAGCACACTTGAAATTAGTAACACACAATTCAAAGATCCTTTTGCTGTCTCTTGAAATAGAGTCAAAGGAACCTAAGGATAATAAAGATGTGTCAAATACAGATGATTTGGAACTTGAGTTGGAGAACCTGGAAATTAATGATGATACTTTGGAATTAGAGGGTGGTGATGAAGCAGAAGACCTTACAAAGAAACTTCTTGATGAACAAGGTAAAACATAATTTTTGTAAAACATTTAGATTTAATTTTTGGATAATTTTGTACATAAACCCCTTTTATTAGAATATGAGACACTAGAGACTTACAGCTATTGACCCTGTGTTCTAAAGTTATTAGGTGATTACTTTGGGGGAACTGATCTTTATAATGAAAATGCTGTATATGTCTGCATGAATGCAAATTATTGATTTTGATCATTGAAGTACACGGGAAAATGAGGACTTTAATAAATTGACATTTTACTTTTTCATTGCTTGACAGCATCCCCCAAATACTGAATTTATTTTAATTGCATGCTTCCAATATTTACAAATTAGCATAAATTTATTTGAACATGATTCTTAAGTTGGATAGTTATATAGCAAAGATATACATTATTATGTTAGTCTTGTTAACTTAGCTTAGAGAACCTGAATTTGAAAGAACCCTAGAAGCCACTGAATACAATTTGTACCCGAATAGGAATCATTCAACGAGTATTTATTAAGTGCTCGCTATGTACCAGGTATTTGCTAAGTGCTAGGTATAAAAGGAAAGGCAAAAGTAGTTTTTGCCTTCAAGAATCTTGGGGAGATATCATGCAAATAACTAGGAACATATAAGAGATACACAGAATAGATAAGGGCATCATGTCTCACTTTCTGAGAGCAGATGTTAGCAGCCGCAAAGACTGGGAAATGTCTCCTACAGAAGGTAAGAGGTGAGCTGAATCCTGATATAACTAGGGAAACTAAGATTTGGAGGCGAGGCAGCAGAGCATTCCTGGCACTGGGATGGAGAGGTGGTAGTTAGTGCAGTCTTGTTTTTTTCCAAGTAGGATAGTGTTGGTTCATCACAGGATACATGGAGACAATTAAAATATCAGAAGACTGGAAAGGTTTGAAGGGGCAAGGTTATGAAGAGCTTTAAATTTCAAACAGAGTTTTTACTTTTGATTCTGGAGATTATCAGGAACCATTGGAATTCATTGAGCAGGGGTCTCACATGGTCAGGCTTGTACTTTAGAAAAATCACCTTGGCAGTCAAATGAAGGCTGCATTGAAGTGGGGAGAAGTGGTCATCTAACCTTTGATGAGGAGTTACAGGTAGGGGCAGCCCACCATCTCCCTAGGCAGGCTGTTTCGCTTTTGTGTAGCTCTACTTCTTAGGAAGTATCAAGCCTACATTTTCCTCTTTGCAACTTAAATCCATTGCTCTGCCTTTTTCCCTTTGGAACCAAACTGAACAAGTCTAATTCCTCTTCTTTGGTAGTTCATCAGTTACTTTAAGACAGCTGTCATTCCCCTGTTTGCTTGGCTGTCCCCAAGCACCCTATCCCTGTAGTCTTCTCTTCTCCAGGGTGACTATCCCTAGTTTCTTCACTGATCCTCATATGTGACATGCATTTGTGTCTTTCGTCATCCTTTTTGATAAGCTGCAGGGCATCTCAGGAGAGCAGTGTTCTTCTTACAACAATTACAAGAATTGACCACAGTACTTCAGATGTGGTCTGACCAAGCAGAGTACAGCAAGACCATCACCTCCCTGACCAAGACAGATTACCTCTTAGTGTCACTTAGATAGCCTAATTGACTCATTGACCTTGGATTCCACTGAGATTCCCAGATCCTTTTCAGAATAATTTACTGCCTTGTCTCCCCTATTTTGTACTTGGGAAGTTGATCTTTAAGACTCAGGAGGTGTTCAGTGATGTGATATTGGAGAACTTTAGGTACCTGTTTTATCTGTGGCTTGCAATCTCCAATACATATGTGATTTATCAGTTGGAACAAAGAGAATAATGTTGGGTGTCATAGGGAAAAATCCCAAGCTGCTATTCTGCTTTGAAACTTCACTCAAGGGTTGAGCTTTCCTGTTTATAAACACTACCAAACTATGCTTCACATTTCATCTGCCTGGATATCTTTCCTGTTGCCCTGCGGCTACATGAATCTCTGTGCTCTACTTAATACCTCTGTCTTTTCCATAAAAATAGCATGAAAAATTTTGTCAAATGCTTTGCTAAAATCTAAGTCAACTATGACTCCTGTATTCTCTATTAGTCTAGTAACCTTGTCAGTTATGGAAGTTAGGCTTGTCTGTACTGACCTGTTCTGAATGATACAGCTACACTGGCTCTTTGTGATCTCTACTTCAATTTCTGTGTTTCCTAACATATATTTATGATATGTTTTTCTGGAATACTTTTAATGCACTTGTGTAATTTAAGATTGAAAGTAAGTCTCTTGGTCGCTGTGAGATCCGTTATGCCATAACCCTACAACTGTCTAACTTTTAAAAATGTCTTACCTAATGTTATCAGCTAATATAAAGAAGGTCTTAATTAGTGGGAATAACAGATCCTCTGAAATAGTCACATATATTTGAATTTGCACTATTTGAAGTTATAATTCTGTAAAATATGGTAATTAGTTCCAGTTCAATGGAAATATGTTGTGCAAGTTCGAAAAATGCCAGTACTTCAGAGGATTCTTTATTCACAGTAATAACCTAGTTGTACACTATCCTGGCAAGAATTAGGTGGTAAGAATGGAGTATTGGATGTGTACCCAAGAAGTGAGGAAGCATTCTCAGAGTACTGAAGAAGAGAAGGATGGAAGAAATCATTGTTTTAGAACTCCAGTCTACTTAATCTGGAATAGGACAGTGTTCATACTGGATAGTGAAATGTGGGGAGCTTAATTTTTTATTTTCCCCTTTATGGGAGCATCTAGGTGGTACAATGGGTTAAATTTTTGGATGAAGAGTCAGGAAGGACTGAATTCACATCTGGCCCCAGACAGTTATATGTGTCACTATGTGACTGTGGCTTAAGTCATTTGAGTTATCCTATCCCAAATTTCCTCGTCTGTAAAATGATAATAATAATAGTATCTGCTTCATAGTTGTAAAAATTAAGTAACATACACAAATCACTTTGTGAACCTCAAAGCACTATGTAAATATTAGCTATTATTAGTAATATCATTATTTCATTTAAAAAATGCTTGGCAAGTATTTTCTGTTCTTGAGAAAAGAAAAGGAATGTAGTGCTCCTCTGATTGTCACATGTATCTTACTAAGATAACGTGCTATATTTTCATTGATAATGTATTAACTGATGATAAATTATTTTTGATGAGACTCTTTTAAATTCTGTTAGATATAAATGTATAAATGATTGTATCATGAGGCTGTGTTTAATAGAATTTAATGTAACTTAATTTTTTAAAAATTGGATTTAGGTTATTTCACTGTTACTTCATTCAAAGATGACAGAATCATAATATTGTTCTATTGTATTACATTTATTTTTGAACCTAGTAATTTTTAATGGCCATTTTGTATATTCTTGGGTTTGTTTTTCAAAGCTTGAAAAATAGAGGTAAACCTTTTAGCTTTCATTTCAATAAATTAAGTTTTCATGGTATGTACCTTTATGACTGTGACCTTTAAGATGACTGAGTAACCGCAAAATTGTTGAGTAGGCAAAGTTTGTCTTTTGTGCCCTTACCTTTTTTTGGCATGACCTCCCGTCATCTCTTCTCATGCTTTCATCTTCCCCAATTATGTCCTTCTGCCCTTTGGGTGCATAGCCCATGTCCCATTTGTCTTCTGGAGAAGTTGTCATTTGATCTCAGCAGCCATGTTTGTCAAATGCTAAGGTATTAGCTGATAACCTTATGCGTACATGTAATGAAAGTACTTAGAACTGGCCTTTTTCTATGATTGGATTATAGAGATTGAATAGTTTGGAAGAACCTCAATTATCACTCTTGTTTTGTTCCATTAAGAGGTTTGGGAATGTGTTCCCATAAATATTCCTTACTAATTCTACTAATGGGTCCTAGCACAAAGGGTAGAACTTCAACTCTCAACTGCCTCATTTATGATTTGGTAAATGAAGACAGCATGCTGCCTATGAAAGGTTGTCAACCCCTGTGGTTCGATGGCTTGATCTTCACCAATGGCTCTGAACTCCTCTATACCTATGTTATGGAATATTTTAGTTTTCTTGGGATTTTGTAACGATATGCTCTTCCAAAAACTTCTGTTGTTGAGTGGTAATAGTAATGTTCAAATTAACTGGAACAAAAAAAAATCATTACGTTTATTGACTTTTAATGACTTTTTTACATTTAAAAAAACCAGCAAAGTACAATGTCTTCCTTTTGCTGCAATTGTTTTATAAGACTTGATATAGAATTAATAAATTGACATGTTATTTAATTCTTCATCATGAAATCATACCCATTTCAAATGATAAGCTTGTTATGAGAAGTCCATTTTTTCAAGTCTATTCTTATTTATTGCCAGTGGTATGTTGGATCTGGCTTGAGAACTGATTGTTAAATTTTCAGGAACTTTGAAAATTGGTTGTTAAACACAGCCTGTATACAGTTCAGTCGACTCCTCCATGGGTAAAGTTTTTTGTTACTTTAAAAGAATTGGTGTCAACCACAGCAGAGTGTATTTTTGATATGTTATTGTCTACTTTACTTAAACTAATTTAATTAATGCAACTTTATTAATGAGTAATTGAAAGTGAATTTAACTGCTTCTTATTCTGATGATATTAACATAATGCTGGGAATAAAGTTGAGTAACTATGAAGTTGTTAAACATTTTTTTAAAAGTAATCATTATTGAGCCCTGTTAAAACTGCCAGTTCCAATTATTTTGATTCAGTATTTGAAATAAAACAAATTAATTATTTTAAAATATTTCTGGACAAAATTTATCCTGCTTATCACAAATCTAATAAAAATCAAGCTGAGTTATAAGTCTTAGCTAAAAACTTAAATTTGAAATTCTTAAAATTAATTGAGTACTGGAACCAAGATGGGTGGCATGTAGTTTAAAAGCTGCTGCTGCTGTGTGGTAGGCACGTCCTTCGTTATCAAAGCATTTTTCTCATTCTTCTTATTCTGGCTTAGCAAAGAGATTAATTCACATTAATTTCTTGCAAGAATGATTGCTTGCTTTAATGATTGATGTTCATGAAGAATTTTCATTACTTTCACTTACATTGCAGTCAAGATCAGCTAATATTCAGAAAGCACAAAAATTAATCACACACCATAAAAGCTATGGAAAATAATTGGTAGTAAAAAGCATGAATCTTAAATTGAAGATTTAATTTTAAGTGTGATAAATTTGGAGAAATTCCATTTAATAAAAATAATACTACCATAACATGAAAATATATAGTTCAATGATTCTTTACTTTACAAAATATTTTTGTAGTGGGATACTTTATATTTAGTGCTAACAAACATTAATTTATACTGTAATTTCTAAATTTTTCTTTATAAAATTGGCACCTCACTGCATTTTATCAACCTGATTTTCCTTTTAATTAAAAATGTTTTTTTAATGTGTGTGTATATAGGTGTGTGAATATGTGTATACATATCCATATATGTATATCCATATATGTATATACATATATATATATGTGTGTGTGTATATATATACATATATATATGTATATATACACACGTGTGTGTGTATGTGTGTGTACGTGTGTATGGGGTGGGGCAGGTTAGAATTTGAAGCCTGAAATGAGGATACTCAGAACTTCTAAGGTCACACTTAAGAAAATGCTTTTAATCTTTTCAGTGATTAAGAAAATAACTCCAAGATTTGGTATTTCTCACGCAAAATATATTTGTTTGTGTTTTTTCATATTGTGTGTTTTTTAAAGCATGTTTTATAATAATAATTTTTAATTAGAACAAGAAGATGAGGAAGCCAGTACTGGGTCTCATCTAAAGCTTATAGTAGATGCTTTCCTGCAGCAGTTGCCGAACTGTGTCAATCGAGATCTCATCGACAAGGTATGATTAACTTTATGTACCTCTACCCACAGAGATAAGCCCTAGTCTTGTATCATGACCTATGATTGGTAGCGTACTTAATGTAAGTCTGTGTATGTTGTATTTTTCACTCTTTCCTACATGAGGTCTAAGTAGTGAGTTTATCAATAGAACACATTTGTGGAATTGTGTATTTTTAAGTTTTTATCTTTGTCATCGTGTCTCCAAATAGCTGATTTTTATGGTTGAATCTGAAAACATTTGAGTGATTTTATATAATCTAGTAGATTTTGGAACTCCATAGAAATTACAGCTGCCTACTTTTGGAGCTACTTAGTCTAAAAGCCAGCAGCTGTACAGTTTGTGATTTCTTGAGAAACTATTCTCCTTTTGCTATACATAATATGGTTGTAAAGGCCACTGAAAGAAACGGCCTGATTATATATCAATATTTTTCTCTTAATAGATTTAATGATTTTAGCAGGCCACATTTCCATTGGGACTTATCTTGTGTGTTTGGAGCTCTTTCTTATTTTTCACTAAGTTCTCCTCATATGCAAACATCAAAGGAGAGCTGTCATCATTTTATAATAGAAACAGGGCTTTGGATGATTTGTATAATCATACTATTGCAACTGTGTGGCATTATTTGAATTCAAATGTTAAAAGCTCCTGCCACTATTGGTCACCAGCAAGTTCTGAGTGACTTTATGGAGAGTGAATGATCCTTATCGTGTTCCGCTTCATCCAGCCTCCCGTGGCAGTGAGTACTATCTTCTATAACCCTAGAAATGACCCATAGGGAGAGGGAGACGGAAAATAGTGATGGAAAGCCAACATTTCACAGATTCTTAAAATATTAAAGTTGTGAGAGATTTCAGAGGTTATCTAGGCTAACCTTTGCATTTATTTTTTGGATGAAGAAGCCAAAGTGCAGAGAAGTTAGGTCACTTGCTCAAGGTCACACAGTTAATATCAGAACTGAGACTAGAACTTAGATGACCCAACTTTTCAGTCCAGGGCCGTGTGTGTGTGTGTGTGTGTGTGTGTGTGTGTGTGTGTGTGTATGTGTGACTTTCAAATTGTGGCTATTTTAACCTCTAAAAAAACTGTCTTCTCTAACATTTGCTTTATTGCAATGTTGTGTTCATATATTTAATTACAGCACAATTAAGATCAGGATTCACTTTTTCTTTTACTTCAGCTGTCTAAAGGAGGGAATAGGAATTACAGCTTTAAAGAGCCAAATGAAATTTTAAAATATAAAATGAAGAGTAGGATTGGAGACATAAAGTTCCTCTTTTATAGACCCTGTAAATACATCAGCAGCCTTCATGTTCTCCATGTCTGTATGAGATTGAGTGTGTAAGAAGGCAGGCATTTTTCCTCTTCCCCAAGGTAAATGCAGATAAATTAGAGATTAATTCATGTCCTGCGTGAATAGTCTTTTAGACTTGACTTCCCCGGTGGTTCTATCTAATTATTTAGCTTTACTTTCATTTATAATTCCCTAAAGTATAACAGAGTTCTTCATATATTTGTTTTGGTTTTTTGTGGTTTATTTTTATAGCCAGTTGGCTTTTTGGCTGTCTTGGAAGACAATGTAAGGCTTTTCAGTTGGCTCAAAATAACTTTATTGGGTTCTGCAATAAACAGATAAAGAAGGTGTTACTTTTGAAGCACAAGACTCATGTTCAAAGATTGTTTTATTCCCTGTTTATACAGAAATACAAATACCTTATTTTTCTGACTAATTGTATCACTGATAGTATATTTTTATTTTAGTTGTGTGGAGACCTAGTATTGCATGTTGTCCACATGTTAATAGAGTTTCAGTTCTAAGTAGGTTGTTAGAAGTTTACAATATTACCAAAAAGATAGGATTTCTGTGTCTCCATCTGTGTTAAGAATAATCAGTTATTAGAGGCAGCTAAGTGGCACAGTAGAACAGAGTACCAGTCCTGTAGGAAGACCTGAATTCAACTCAAGTGTCAGACTCTTGCTAGCTGTGTGACTCTGGGCAAGTCATTTAATCCCAGTTGTCTCCAAAAAACAAATAAAACAAAAAGAAGGAATAACCAATTATTTAAAGTCCAAATAGCCTAGAATAATTCAGATGTATAGCTGAATGTCTTATAATAGCTTTGGAATATTTCCAAATTTAGTCTTTATTATTCTAACTAATAGACCTAGTAAAATGCTCTGTAAGCTTAATGGTTAACTTCTTTGTCAATTTAAGAGTTTTTGTAAATGTAGATTCACTGTCTTGAAAGACAGTTTCATTTTTATCTTTCTGTTCCCAGTGGTTAGCACAGTGCTTAGCATAGGTACTTAAATACTTACTGATGGATTGACATTTTAGATAATAGTTTTATGAGTACAGTGGTTAAACTTTGATTGGAAATTGTCGGAGTTTCCAGTAAAGTATGACAAGTTATATCATTCTAACAAAGACCTACTTTTTGAAGAGTCTTGAGTTTATCCTGAACCAGTGAAGAGAATAGAGGTTTTTCATACACCATGGAAATTTGAGAGCCCTCCTTCGGTTTGAAACACTAAACTTTCCATGTGTGATGTTAATGAATTAATCACGGGAACTTTTGAAGACCATGGTGAATTTGACTGTTAAACATATCAGAGCCATCGTTACTGGGCTAGGAAGGAGTCAGAAGATTTGAATTCTAGTCTTTTTTCTCTACTTCACTAACTAGATGTGACCTTGGGCAAATAAATTAATCTTTCTGGGCCTCTGTTTTCTTATTTGTAAACAATTTTTAAACAACATCCCTTATAGGTTATTGTGAGGAAAGTGCTTTGTAAACATACCCAAAACATTTAATATTAATTTTATTTTGCTGTAGTATTTGGCTGTAATTATTTAAAAAAAACACATTAGTCTATCAATTTTTTAAAGACCTCTTTTAAATATACCCTTTCCAGTTTTTCATATTTTTCAGCTGTAGAAATAATAGCAGATATTTGGGGAAATGTTATAAATAGAGAGGTAGATTAATTGACAGATAAACTGCACTGCAGGATTGTGTTTGTAGTCTTGTGCAACTTTGAGCTACCAGGTTTCAGTTGTTTAGAATCTTTTCAGTAAGCTGGGTTTCTATGAGTAATGCATTTTCCCCTTATTTTTAGTAGGTATCCTGTTTATTCTCTGTTCTTTCTGTTTCATGATGTTTTTCCCAGCTATATTCTAAACTTCCCAAATAATTCTTGATAACTACTTAACTCTCATTTGAGAAGTACTGTTGTTACAATTTTTCCTATAATTACCTGCCAAACAAACATCATCTTCTTGTTGTTTTATTTTTCACTTAGCACATGGGTAATCAGTAATTAAGGGATTAAGATTCCCAACAAGCCTCTCTTTACCTTAGTTGGCTACTAAGTTTCTAAATTATATATATATATATATATTTTAAGATTTGCATGGTGAGGCATTATATTCTGGAAATAAAATGGAACTGTGGGGGGTTTTTTTTGGCTGTTCTTAAGATTTATTTAGGTGTTTATTGATATATAATTTTTTTTCTGTCACCTACAGTTCTCCCTGTATTCTTACTCCATAAGCCAGCCAAGAAAGCCATCTGTATAGGGGCTTATTGTTTTGGGTGTGCTTATAATACTTTTATTTTATCAATTTTGTGAAACATTTAACAGATTGAGTTTCTGCTTTCTGTATTTAAAATGAGGTTTCAAAAGAAAAAAGTGTGATATTTTTTTTTCTGTAGGCAGCAATGGATTTTTGCATGAATATGAACACCAAAGCAAATAGAAGGAAATTGGTACGAGCACTCTTCATAGTTCCTAGACAAAGGTAGGCATTAAAAATATAGAGTAATTTGATTAAGTTATTTTTTGTTGCTTCAGTAATTTTAGGGGTAAATTATGCTCCAAATTCTCATTTCTCCTCCAAGTATTACTCCTATGTATTGAATATATCAAGTCCTCAAGCATCCATTTTGACTCCCTAATGTTTTTTATTATTTGACGGATTTAAGTATTCATCATTTTCACCTACATTTGGTTTTTACTTAAGTAGTTATAAAGTTTCTGTTGAGATTTGTCTGTAATTTTAAGATAAAGCATTTAAAGGAAAATAATATACATTTATTAAAAACCTTAACCTATATTTTTGCCCTTGTGCTCTTATCGGGCAGTAGTGAGTGATAATAGCACAAGATTTTGAGAATTTTTCTTTAAGTTAATTTTGTAAGCTTTTTACATCATGTTCCATCTGGAGCAGGCCTGCACAACCCATGGCCTGCCAAAGGATTTTGGGCACCCCATGAAAAATGTAGAAGAAAACATCCTCTACATTTTTTGCAGGCTGCCCAAAATCTTTTGGCATGCCTTCGGGCCATAAGCAACCCACAGGCCGCAGGTCCTGCAGGCCTGAGCAAGAGTCTAGACTAAATTCTTCATGACATCTTGGATAGTTAGATATAACCAATACAAATACTATGCAAATCATTTTTCACATGGAAGACTATTGGTGGATCAGTGTTTCTGTTTGGATTTGTTGCCTAATTTCTTTCTCTTGATACTGTTGTTTTGTCATATTCCTTATTGGCGCGCCCCCCCCCCCAAGATGTGTATTGGATCTAAGGAAGTGTAGGAAGTGTAATAACTTTTTTCTTCCAAGTGTACTCACATTTACTTTGAGAATATTCGTATTAGTGGACCTCTTTTGACTCAACCATGAGTGTAATTGAAAGAAATTTTTTCTGTAGGGAGGAAAGTACTATACTGTATTACTTGTTATTGGCAGTAGCAGAAGAGTTACTCTTCCTCACTAGTGGAAGGATATTCCATGCCAAGAATTTTTAAAAAACGCAGTAACCAAAAACTACAATGAATGATATTTAGTGAAATATAAATTTTGAACATATTAAAAACTTTACGTATTAAAATATTGAATGTTGATGTGGTTGGAAATGGAATATTTATATAATAGTTATTTGAGATGTTTAAAATATTTTTAATTTCATTATAAACAACTTGTATGCAAGACAATATGTGCATTATGGAAACACAAAGTAAAACAGTTCTAAGGTAGAGGGGACACATGAATTTTTCAAAGAGATCTATGTGTATATTCAGAGAACTTGCCAGTCAAATTTAGATTTTTAAAAAGGCATGAGGAAAATAGAAGTAAGGTCAGATAATGGAATATGAATACAAAAGCATAGCATAATCCCATAATGATATAGGCAAAATGGTTACTTAAGCCAGGTGTTGTTAACCTTATTTTTGTGTCACAGACCTCTTTTAAAGTCTGGTAAAACCTATGGATTCCTTCTCAGAATGGTTTTTTTTTTTGGAAGGGGGGGAGCTAGGCAATAGGGGTAAGTGACTTGCCCAGGGTCACATAGCTAGTGTCAAATATCTGAGGTTAAATTTGAACTCAGGTCCTCTTGACTCCAGGGCCAATGCCCTATCCGCTGCACCACCTAGCTGCCCCCATCAGAATGTTTTTAAATGCATCAAATAGATAGGATTACAAAGGAAACCAATTTCACTGAAATAGTTAACATATTTTGAAAAACAAGTTCACGGACCTTAGTTAAGAATTTCTGGTTAAACCCATAAACATAAGGAGCTGAGGGGAAAAAGAGTAAAGTTTTTAGACTGCCAACTCAAGACAAATCAGCAATGTGATATGGCAGTTACTAAAGGTAATGCACTGTTATTCTCCATTTAGAGATGTGTAATATTCAGGACTGGGGTGCTAGTTTCATTTTACTTTTCCCAGTTCAGACCACATCTGGAATGTTGCATTTAATTCTAGGTGCCACAGTTTCTTTATTTTTAGAATTTTATATGTAAAAGTTCTGAATTGAACAAACTCCAAATAAAATGGGCATTTTCATATGTAGAGTAAAACAGAAAAAGAGAAGTTGTATGTGAAGCTGTGAATCTCTTGTTTATGTGTAGTTTGCTTTTCCTCTGTATTTAGCACTTTGGTTCAATGATAAATTCAGCGTATAACTTTCAGATGTCCTGATTGTATGTGATTCTTTTTGGTTTTTTTGTTAGGTGTCACAAATGACTCTCTTTTTTTGCTACTTTATTTTTACTTTATTCCCTCCTTCCATCATTGACAAAGGAAAACAAAACCCTTGTAATAAATATGCATAGTCAAACAAAACAAATTTCCCCATCGATGGTATCTGAAAATGTATGTCTTATTCTGTAATTTCAGTCCCCCCAGATGCCACGTTTAGGTTGGACATTGATAAAAGATGAAGAATAACTAGAATATTATATCCAGGAGAGGGAAGGACCTTGAGGTCATGCTATATGAAAATTGGTTGAAGGAACTGGGGTGGTTTAGATTGGAGAAGAGAAGACTTCCGGGGGGGGGGAATGAAGTGTCTTTAAATGTCTGTTGGGCTGGAACATGACAGAGTGCTTAGCCTTGTTCTGCTTGGCTCAAGGAGGCTAAATTGGGAGTACTAGTTGGAAACTGAGAAAGAGATTTAGGTGTTATGTAAGAGAAAACTTTTTTAACAGTAGAACTGTCCAAAAAAAATTTATTTGTCCTTCTCCCATACTGTTTTTTTTCTGACTCTAGCCACATTGATTTTATTTTTTAAAAAGTTTTTAAAAAAATTTTAATATAATCCATATTATTTCTTCTCACCTCTTCTGATCTTTGTCTGGTGATAAATTCTTCCTCTTCCATAATTGTGAGTGAAACCCTAATTTTCTTATAAGACTTTTAATATTGATTTTTAATCCATTTGGAATTTATGATGATGTAAGGTGAAGATACTGATCTAAACCTATATTTTCAGAAACTGCTTTCTAGTTTTCCCAATAGCTGTTGTTGAATTAAGGAATTCTTTCCCCAGTTTATGATGTTATAAAGCTTATGGAATACCATCACATTAATAGGTGCATTTATTTCAAAGCCTTATCTAGTCTTTTCTGTTGTCCTACTTTTTAATTTACTTTAAGCCAGTAGTTTTGGTAATTACTACCTTGTAACATATTTTGAGATCTGATAACGGCAAAACCAACTCCTTTCATTCCATCCTTTGATGGAATGGGGTTTTAAATTGTCATTACTCAGTCATAGTTTTAAATTATCATATGAGATCTTACTGGAAACAGTAAAAAAAACTTTCAGTTTGCTTATTGATAAGAATTGAAGGAGCGAGGGACTTTACTTACGTGTTAGATTACATTATATTTGAACTAACCTTCAATTTCTTGGTTATGTCTAAAACTCTTATATTTGTACCTGTGAAAGTAATAGATACCTATAGATTTTTGCTAGTAATACTAATTTTCTTTTGTATAAGAAGTCCTGTGAGGTAGGTACTTTAGGTTTTATTATCCTCATTTTACCAATGTGGAAACTGAAGCTCATAGAGTATATGTGACTTGCCCTCAGTTATCTAATGAATAAATATGAGAGGCAAGATTCAAACCCTTACGTCTCTCCTGATTACAAGTCCAATATTCTTGCTATTATACTATACTTCCTCTGGTCCCAGTTTTCCCATTAACTAGCTATATGAATGAATTAATAAGCATTTATGAAGTGCTTAGTTTATGCCAAGCACTATGTTAGGTAATGGGATGCATATACAAAAGCAGACAGTCCATCTGCCTTGAAAGAGGTTACGTTTAAATAGGAACAACACACATAGGAGTGTGTGGGCCAGAGAAGGGGCCCTGTGTTCGAGAATTACGGAGTTGTAGGAAGTGGGGCTTTGTAATAGATTGGCATACCCCCTTCCTTCCAGGAGCAGTGGCAGAGATTATTTGATCATGCTTTCAGAACTGGAGAACTTGAGGAGAGGGAGGTTGGGTACATGAGCAATCTTTCATGAGAACATAGCTGGGAAGTAGAAAGCGAAGTGAAGAGTAGTTGGAGCTGCTTGAAAAATGTAGCCGGTTACTTAATCACCTATCAAGACACAGGGTCCTCAGGGCCTGCACGTTAAAACTGGTGAAAAGACTTCTGGTCTGGGTGGTAGGTTGAGAAGCTGACTAGGATGTAGGAAAGTGGCTTGATAAATGAACCTCAGTTTCTGCCACTATCAAATACATTATTGAAATGGATCAATTTATGTCTTAAAGACATAAATGTCATTCATTGTTAGAACACTCTGAACTAAGTTTGGGTGCTCTTTTTCAAGGATGTTCTTTTTTTTAGGAGGTAAATAAGTAAGAACAGAATCATACAGGGTCACTACAGTGTATTTCATCTAACAGTGTCAAGTCTGAGATAGTCAAGCATCTGTAACACTCAGTTTGGGAGATTTCTAGGGCATAGCCAAGATGATGAAGTAGAGAAAACATTCAGTTAACCTCTCCCAACATTCTCCTCCAAACAACTTTAAGATAATGCCTCAAATCAGATTTTGGAGTGACAGAGCCAACAAAAGATCTGAGACATTCTTCCAGCCTAAGACAATTTAGTAGGTTGGAGAGAGAGATCTGTGACAGAATTGTGGAGGCTGGCCCATGTGGATAAAAGACCAGTAGTAGTAGGAGGAGGTGGTAGTAACAGCAGCAGCTTTGGGAACTCTCAAATGAGAGATGTTAAGGGGATCTGGTCAGAAAGAGATTACAGGGCATCCCTGTGCTAGCTCTGGACTCCAGATCATATGTTGGAGTTGTTTGGCAACTTCATTGCCTATACCCAATTTTGAGTCATAAGTTTAAGAGTGGAAAAGAGCATTTCAGGTCACAAGGGAGTGGAAGCCTTGAGAGACAATATCATTTTTGGTCCCAAGGGAATATAGGCCCTGAGGAGCAGTACTGATTGCAGTCTTAAGGAATCAGGTGTCCTTCTAGGGT